TCCTTGCGCAAATAGCCTACAGCTGAGGGCCCAGAATAATTTATACAATGTTGCAAGGTGCTTCAGGCCAGACCCAAGTTAATAGTTGATACAATGTTTCAAGTTCGTTGCAGACAGGCCTTTTTAGGTTTGTATTATTTTCATTTAGATTTGGATAGAATTTTGATTAACCACATGACAATGATTTTGAGATACGAAGACGTTATTATAAATGAAATGAAACTGTTCCACGAAAATGTGCATATGAAAACCATAACTGGCACGCAGATCAGTAGAAATGGTAAGATAAATTGGCATTCCAAGTGAGAAAGTTTGCCGACTCCTCGTGCAGCCTATTACCGGCAACTTCAGGAGAGTAATGTCAGAATCTGCGAAAGGCAGCAGGAGCGGGGGTTGGATGGTCGGGACAGGTTAAGGTTTTCTTCTTCTGGTTTCTTGATCTCTGGCTCCCTCTTGAGTCATATGTGTCTTATTTCATCAAACAGTGAGCTTAAAGCACCATACAAGCTCAATGACGTCTCTCTACAGATAGATGCTGGAGCTGGTCTCCCTCCTCTCTCTACAGATAGACACTGGAGCTGGACTCTCTCCTCTCTCTACAGATAGACACTGGAGCTGGTCTCTCTCTCCTCCATTAGGTCTCAGCATGCAGCCACTACAGTACAGCCCTGTTGAGGCTTATAGTAAACCAACGTTGAATCAGAGCTGGCTTACCGTAGCACCACTGTTTAAATGCTGTACACATATCACAAATCAAAATGTGTGACACCAAAAGATACTGCTGTCTTGTTAGTTGTCTGAGTGTTACAAATAAGAAGTCACAGATTCTCACGTGTGCATATGTGTTTCTGTGTGTGTGTTTGTGCGCGTGGCCGCGTGCGTGCCTGCTTGCATATGTCTGTGTGTGAGAGACCACAGTGCTTTTGGGCTCAGGCCAAGGGTCTGACTCTATCTCGCCTGACCAGCTGAGCACTGACTAGTTCCAGGGTAGACTGGGTTAGTGCTGCCATTTGACTGCCCTAAAGAGTTCTCCTTAATTAAAACATGTCATAAGCAGTCATTGCGTTCTACTAACTTTGTTATTGCTCAACAGCTTTAACGGAAAAGGGAAGGGTGTTTTTTTATGTTGCTAGTCTTGACCCTGATTTTCTCTGCTTCAAATGTCTGAGGACTGAGCAGCATAAGACACACACACACACACACACATGCTAAAACACACACATACGCACACACACACGCTAAAACACACACACACACACATGCTAAAACACACACACGCACAGAGTGCAGGATGAGGCAGAATCAGCCAGGGGCCTTAAAGCCGGGCCTCTATTTTTGACAGACTTACGTAACATTGAAAAACACCATGTGGATGTAATTTGGCTTCTTCCTTATGACTGAGTTCCTCTTTAATTCAGCATCAAAAAGGTGAGAATTTATCCAGAGTAGCGTTGATCTGTTTCTTTGTGTGACCTTTAGTAACCACACAGTGTGTGTTTGTGTGAGAGAGCACGCATGGACACACCAACACACACATATGGACACACAAACACAAATCCACAAATCCACACACCCCTATCCCTCCATCCAGTCCCTCTACTCCCCCACACAGACATATGGCCATATGACATGAGCAGTGGGGGAGTGAGGAGAGCCAGAGGCAGGAGGTGCAGCAGAGGGGGGAAGAGACATACAACTCCACAGAGATGGTTTGGGTTAGAAGGGACCCTAGATAACAGGTTTCTTTTAAAAGGGCTATGTAGATACACATAACTCCACTGCTCATCCATGACTGTCTCATTCCCACTAGGATCAGGTGTGTGTGTGTGTGTAGAGTGGGGTGTTGTGTGTGTGTGTGTGTGTGTGCCACAAAACTCTGTAATCTATTGGCCATGGGGCACCCTTTCATGACTGGTTCCAACTTCCTTGGGTCACTCATACAGTAGATTGAGCTATTTAAAAACAGGATCTTACAAGACAGAGTGGAAATCCCAGAGAAGTTTATTATGAATGGGTGTGAACTCACTTCTGATCACACTCTTTGGCAGAGAGACTGTTATTCCAGTGCAAAGTTTGGCTCAATTTTATGCTTTTGACAGCGTATGACAAACCCCCGTCGACACGTACATCATCCCCAGCCCCGTCTCTTGTATCATCATCTCACCTCAGATAAAGCCGGGCGTTTGTCATCGGGGCGAGCCAAGAGAAACAACTTGCCATATCGCAACTGTAGCATATCACTGTCCTCACCCAGCCGCGGTTCCTGTAGACTAAACTAAAACAGCCCAGGACAGGTCACATTCATCTGAAAGAGCCAAAGGGTTTGTCTCCAGTCATGTTTATGCTAAAGCTATCTAGATAGCTAAGTCGCTAACTCTGGCTAGCTAAAGTCGCTTACTCTGCAGTATCTAGGAAGGGATCGGATGTCCCTTTTGAGAACAAATGGAAAGGGAAGTGGAGAGCTTGTAACTTGGACCACCCTCTCCCTTTCACTCACACTCTCACACACGCACATGGGTGTGTTTGTTTGTCCGTTTTCTCGCCCAGACGGCGGCTCGCTAAGTGACCTCTCCGGAGAGCAAGGTGGAGGGTCAGAGGTCAGAGTGTGTCCTGCTCTCCCGACATTAGGGGAGGGGTTGGAAATGGAGTGGGGTTAGGGGTGGGCACTATGGAATGCTCCAGGTCTGTTAAGTGACTCCAGTGTTTGTTTTTACTGATTAAACCCCAGTCAATAGAACTGGAGCTACTCTGGGAGGATAGAATACACAGTCTCTGATCAGGAAATGTTAAAGTTCCTCTATAACTCTGATACTGTTTTGAGAGTATTCTTCATCCGTTTACCCAATGTTTACATTGTAACCATGGCGTCTTAGGATGGTGTCGAAGGTCCCTACACATACAGTATCAGAGAGGGAATTTGTGTGTGTGAGAGGGGATTGGGGGCCGTTGAATAGAGGTTGCGG